CTGGGAAGGCTAACACACACACACACCCACAGTTTTCGAGGTTTTACCCAATGAAACCGCTAAAGACCAAAGAAATCCGGGCCATACGATCTTCGTTTTGTGTCTTAATTGGTTTCATAACACCAAAGTAGCCACAATACAAAGAAAATGAATAGAAGAGACTGTTTCCCCCTTATTCTTTTCAAGAAAAAAAGACACTTGTAGTGTTGTTCCATGATACGATAGAAAGCCTAAAAATGGAAAGTTTTCAGACCAGTTCATAAGGGGATGATGGACTACGATAGTAGAGTCATTTATTGATATGTAAAGTACTAGCATTGACAAGACAATTGACCAATAGATTTTGATTGTTACTCGCTTTCATTATGCACCTGCACGTCGGCACTTTTGTTATTTATTACTGGTTTTTGTTAAGTAAAGACAAGTGTTAAAGGTCTTTCTGGAAAAATTGGTTCAATAGCACCTCTCACCAGTTAGTTCTTAAGCAAGTACCTTGTGCAGCTTTTATGATTACTACTTTAGCTTTTCCTCTAGCATGATGTATGTTAGAGCGCTCTACGAATAAAAGTATACTGTGGAACCAAACGCTATCTCTTTCTTGACGTCCGTACAAGCTCACTCGAAGTAGATCGCTGTGTGCCGGGAAATCGTGACGAGTTTCCGTTCTCGTCAGCCGAGTGGTCTCTGCCGAGTTAATTTCCCCCGTTTGTACGTTTCCCGCAAGTTCAGTTTAGAGTGCGCGAAAACTTATCGTCAAACCTGTTAGGAAACTATGCGATAAACATCGGATATGCGATGCTCGATGAACAGTGCTTTTTCCTTTTATTGCCAAGAAATTAACCAAATAAACATTGAAAAAGCAAACAAACACACAAACAAAAATAAAAATTAAGAGATTTATTTGCCAAAACCACGTTACAATTTGTTGTGCACAGTTCCAAAAGGTTATGGCGCCTTCACAGGGAGGTCAGCCTGAAGAAGTAAACTTCAGCAAGTAATTTAGTGTTAACAACTGGGTTGAAAACGTAAATTAGCCACCGTAAAGGGTAAAAAAGCTGACGTTTCGAGCGTTAGCCCTTCGTCAGACCGACGCAGCACCACAGTTTCTTTAGAAACTTACCCCTTTAAACTTCAGCAAGTCGAGTAAAAATAGGTTGCCGGCTCTAAAGGCCATTAATAAAACCACCGACAAAAATCGATTCTCCGTCATAGAATGCACCATTCAACCACAAAGTTTCCCGGATTCACTGTGCGCCCATGAATGTGTGTTCGTGGTGGAAGAACAAAAACCACACGTATTTTTCAGGCCGTGCTTGGTAACAGCATTCCAAATTTAGTATCTGCGCAAAAAGGGTTACAAAGTAAATAACGTTGGTGTTAAATACTTAGGAGACCAAATAGTACATCAGTCTTTCATTCCAGCGTGATCACTTTGTTGTTTCATGGAAATTCCTAATTCCTTTTCACACGTAATAAGCCCGTCACTTTGAGTGGTAAACACCCTTAACACTTAACTTTACAAAGTCAGAGATAAAAAACTTGCTCACCTTTGGAAGCGATAAAACCAGAAGCAGAGGAAGTGCTGCGTTGAGGTTAGGAAGGAGTACCAAGAACAATGGATGCGCGGGAAGTACAGTGGTCAACACTCACTGTAGCTCTGGTTGCAGATGACTGATAAACACATAAAGAACTTGTGTGTGATGAGGTTGTGTCAATGTGAAGGAAGAATTTATGGTATGTTGTGTAAATTTCATCTTTTCGACTGAGGTGTTTTGTAAGTTCTATTAGTAATTAGTTTGTTGTGAGTTGGTATTGTTACGGTTGTGAATAGCAGTGGTTTTTAACTTAAACCGGGAGTACTAATTAACAGGAGGTCGACGAATTAACAAGGGAAGGAATGGGCGTAGGAGAAGTTGATGTGTGAGTGGTGGCTGTAGGGGTCGTGCAACTATCCGTGGAGGGTCCAGGAAAAGAAATACCAAAGCTCCAGTCATGACGGGCGAGCCACGGCTTTCGGTGCTGGCCGCTTCCATAAAGAGACGGTTTACGCGGAATAACACCAATCTCTTTCTTTAAATCCAAGGGAAGGTTATTAAATAAAATTCCCAATTGCTGTATCCTAGCGTAAGGCATTTTACTTCCTCTATTTCTGACAAGTTCACCTACAAAAGACAAAGACAGAAATTGACTGGAAAAAGAACGAAGCTAAAAGTCACTCCTTGTTGCGTTGAATATGACACTTATACAGAAATCATAGCCATAGATAAAGGGAATTACCACATCAATACATTAAAACCAGAAATAAAATTTATATTGGGAAAGAAGACTGACTTTTTTTCGTATTGCAACAAATCACAAGAAAAGGCAGAAGCTGAGTGTAAAACAGCTATTGACCCCTTAAATGCTTCAAATAGTAGTTTATGGATATGTAGTTTTCACTCATGGGTCAACTGAAACTGAATGCGGCCATTTCAGTGGAAAGAGAAAACAAAGATATTTTTCAATAATTTGGAGGAACATCAGCTAGATCTTCGAAGACCTTAATCCGCACGTGCATGGATAAAGGCAAATATATGCTATAAAAACGCATACTGTATTTGAAGTTGAACACTTCTTGTAGATGTTTTACTGACATGTCTTGCTTTTCCGCCAGGGAATTACCTATAAAATAAGGACCTATTTTCACTGGAAATATAATGCTTTCTTTTCTAAGTTCTTAGGAAACGAGATGCTTGGTGTAATAAGTTGTTGATCTAAGCATCAATGTGATGAATTTCATTGTGATTCATTTATTGTTTTAATATATTGAGATTATCTTGATATTTAAGAACATAGATGTACACTTAGAGTAACAGAAATTGAGTACCGGGATTACTGCTCTCGATAACCTTTTTTTGAGGTTCTGTTTATGTTTTGAGTGCAGGAATGAAATGCAAATTGGAATTTACAGGTAATTAGTTTTACTAATTGTTTTTCTTTTTTTCATCAACTCATGTATGGAAAAATCCAATTCACAAATTCTCAAGCGCAAAAATTTGCAGAAAGATTTCAACATTACAAGAAAGCTTCTGAAAGTATAAATCAAGAGTAAAGTGCTAATTAATGCATATCTACAGTGAGTAATCACAGTGTAATCTACTTGCAAATGTTTCCATGATGTTTGTTTTTAAAAGGCTGTCACCAATCCCAACTGAACCTTGGTAACAAACACCATCATAAGCAAATAACATCAGTGCATGACCACCAAGTGTTTCCAGTTCCGCAACCTGTGTAAAACATTGATAAGGATTGGTAACAATTAGAAGAACCAAATGAGTGTGATAACATATATACTCATTACTTAAGCAATGTCAGTTTGTTTAGTGCTGGATTATAGTTGTATCCCATCATGGGAGTGTATGGTGGCAAACATTTAATTACATGAAAATTACTGAGCTTGCATACTTAGAAAGTTGTGAAAATCAAGGAAAAGAAAAAACCTAAAAAGTAAGATATTTAAAATAGGTAATTATGAGTAAGTTTAAGAATAACTTTCATTGTTTATTAAGAGCCATTTTCCGAGAAAATCGAAAATCGCATGACACTCATGAAAAAAATGAATTTTTTTTCCTTTCGCCAAAACATCTCTTTTAGTAACCTTATTGAAGAAAAAATAATTTTGGGTTCAAGCGATTCATTGTACGGGAGAAATTACAAAAAGTTTGAAAATCGATTTTTTGCTGGTTTTTCGTACTCAAAACAACAGAATCCGACCGCAACTTCGAGAAAACGGTGAACGCATAAGAAACAATCCATAACATCGAAACTTCAGCCGAGTATTATTTCGTACTTACTCTTTAATTTCCTGAAAGAAATTTTAAGAAAGAGGTTTTTAACATTTACAATCGACAAGTTTAAAAAAGTCAAATTTGTATCTCTGGAAATGTTAGTAAATGAAGGCGAACTTTAACTGTTGTAAAAGGCCACTGGTATATGCCACTTCCTAGTAAAACCCATATAGAATAAAACCTTGGCTATTGAAATAATTTACTGGAAAGTTTTAGCTCTGGAAATCCAATATAATCCTCACACTAAAGTAAGCAATTTGAGTATCTGAGTAAATATAATATATGCAAATTAGACGGCCCGCTGAATGAATTCATACTTTTAACGCAAAGTTTTGTTGAACGAACAACTTACCATTGCTTGTTGTGATAGAAGTTAAATCCGTCTCTCAATCTGTTTGTCCTGTGAAGTGGCAACTCATCGATACCTGATTTTGACCAAAATGTGTCCAGAAACTTCAGCGTTTGAGCTATGCAAACACTTCCCAAGCAGCGCTTATTACGCATCATCAGACGCTTCAGTAATAATGAAACCCGATTATGTTTTGATCCGAAAATAACATACAATGAGGAAAATTAACCCCTGCTCAAACCACACAGTTAACAAGGTGAGTATTACTCTTATTGAGCGAATATCAAATCAGATACTAGACGGATAACAAGATCATATGACGCATAATTTAACAAACGTGCAAAGATCGGTCACGCTAGCTTGTCGCATAAGACGGTACGTGCTATACTTCGTACACAATGTAAACAGACAGAGAAGCAATTACAGCTGTCCCAATGAAAAAATGTACAACCGTACGTCTGTTTATAGATCATCAGTGTAGAAATATTCGACTCTAGGAACAATATTAATAAAATATTTCCAGATCAAATGCTCCTGGAATAAAATTTATATATTGTCACGAACTGTTTCGCCACCTACTATTGCACGCGCCTCTACGATTTCATTTTTAATTGAATTATTCCCGTCTAGTATTACGAAATGCTGAAACAGTGTTAGAGGAGTTTGTCTCGTTTGTTGGGAGAGCTTTGTTTTTTGTCATGGCTTCGGCAACGTTTCACTCATGTAGTTTTTCTGGTTTATTACACGACGCCACACCCTGTGGTTCAAGCAGCGATTATCCAGGCCAAGTTGAAGTTCTCGCTTTAAGAAATTGTACAAGGGACATGTCGAGGCACTGCGAGCTGTATGGATTCAAAGCAGATACAGCACTTGACACTGAATGGAAACTGCTGTTAGCAAGAGCAGGTAAATCTTATGTACTGTCTTACCGTTTTACGTAACGGCTAATAGTGGTGTACATTTCCATCATCTCTTTATCACAGACCTTACGATGGTCATGTTATTCTAAGAAAATCTTCGGGTGCTTTCCATTCAGCCCAAAATTCCGCAAGTTTCGGTTAGAAATCAAATGGAATGGACCATTTCGGTTCGGTTCTACCAGAATATTTGGGAACGCCTTTGAAACTGGTCCACTTTGACCGGTCAGGTTATATCGGTCGGTCGAACCGAAATGTCCCCTTCCATTTGACAAAATTATTGTCTCCAGTACTTGCGCACCGCTCTTTTGTATCCTGCTTGCAGTACAATGAGCAAACGAGTTCATCTCTTTAAAAATCGCAGGCTTTCCGCGATGTTAATATTTTGCAAACCTAATATTAACGCTTACGATAGCAAAAAAGATCTTTATTCACCATCCCCGCTCCGCCCACCCACGCACACACACCTGTCACTGATACACAGACTTTAAAGACCTTTTTATGAAAACGCGACCTCGAGTTCTCCTAGCACACGAGCCTCTCAACTCGCTCGTGATGTATGCAATGGGAAATTTCCCCTTTACCTTTGTTTAGGGGTATTTGCAGTGGAAGAGTCCCACTTGTCATTGACAATATGCCCTCGCCACAGAGCAGAATTTGGTATGCGCTGGAGATCCTCAAAAGTGAAGTGTAGCATTCCACTAGAAATAGCTGCTCACAAAACAGCCTCGGTCAAAGGCGATCGGCATTTGGGCAGCGTTCTATCTGCATTTATTTTAAACACTGAAGGAATACTTATTCAAGTTGGATTGCGTAAGTTTATCGTAACACATTTGTAGCTAAAGTACACGCTTTAATTTTAAACGCGCGAGGGCGTAAAGCAACATATGCGCAAGCGTTACAATACCCTTTATTCTCCTGTTCCCTTCCCCCCAAAGAAGAAAATGGCTTTGAAGAATAGTAAAGAAATCGGCGATGGCCTTTTAACAAGGTTAACATTTATTTTTGCCACAGCTCTTTGCAGAATGTGCAAGCAACATTTCGAGGAGACAAACCAACAACAGAAAGTGACACCCTCACCAATGATTGAAGTTACTCCATGCGTAGAACTAGAGACTTCAGAAGCAAATGTACGTAAGTAAACGGTAACCTTGGATACAGACTGTTATTCCAACATAAAAAATGCCGAAATTCCGAAAGGGCTGAAATAATGTGAATAACTGTAAACTTTGAAAATGACTCTGAAAATGATTTTAAGACGAATAGGTCATTGTTCGTTTCTTTAAATTCCTTTCGGTCTGGCCGGAGCGGGAGTATTGATAATGATAGCGGTATGCATGTAAATTCAAATTTTTCTTTTTTTTTTAAATGACGTATAACTTAAGTTTCGAACTATACTAAAAAAACTAATGCCTAGTGACAAAATACACAGAAATATTGAAGTAACATTGATGTCTAAACGTCTTTTTTGTATGTTACAGGAACAGCTCAAACTCATCTCCAGGACAAAGTGATACCGGTCAATCTGTTGAAGAGTTCGCAAAAAGCTTTGGACGTCTTACAATCGCTGATGACACCTTTCTGTCGCCAGACACAATAAGCACAGCTTCCACTCAGAGTGACGAGCCCACACCTGTGATCTTACATGAGCCGCACGTTAAGCTGAGTGAGTTCCTGGCAGCCTGCAAACTTGAACCGCTTGGAAAGCCATGGCTTTCTTGGAGTGATTCGTCTGAGCGAACAAGACAACGTCAGACAAGGAGAGCCACAGAAATAGTAGCAACTGTACTAAAGAGCGTCACCCCTGATAATGCTGGTGAACTCTGGCGACGTCTAGCCTCTTCTACGGCTATGAACAAGGCCCTAGGTGTAAGCGAGTTGTCACATTCAGAGCATTTGTATTTAGAGGCCCTAGCAGAAGCGTACCAGAATGCAACCAGCTGGGATACCCGTAGACAAGCCTCTGTGAGAAATTCACTGCAGGGCTTAGATTATTTTGCAGCTGAAGGTGCTCGCGCATTTGATGATCTCGTGGCCCTCTTACGCCAAATAGGGGAATTAGGTTCCGGCAAGGAGTGGGAGACTACAGTTGTGCAAGCTCTTATGACAAGCAAGCAGTATTTGAAGGGGGACTATAAGGTAATGTGAATTCTGACTCCAGCAAGACAGCTTGAATAAAACTAAAAGTAAGTACTTATTTTATCTCGTCAACAAAATCATTCCGTAAAAAAAAAAATTTTGTACTCTTTTTATTCTCTAAATGGTGCACGTGTAACTATCTTACATAAATTCTCGAGATTAACAATGGGCGCACGAGGATAGTCAAGGATAGTCTTTTCTAAGGTTAAGGTTAAAAGTTATTCGCCCCCTTACGTTAATAATATATGTTAGATTAAAAAATCATTTGATTAACTATTATATTGAAGTATAAGCACAGACAAACAGTAATCTCAGTTTTGTTTTATCAACAAGTTCATGTCACTAGCCCCTCTAACGTAGCAGACCATTGTGTGTTGTTTGCTCTTAGCGACAGCAGTGATGCAGATTACCAGCAACAATGCAGTCACCAACACACTAATCTTTGTGACCGTTGTCAAAGTCTTCAGGAAACTCTGGCAAAGATTGAACAGGTCCTTGGCGAGACGACCTTTCCGACTCATGACGCGAAAGACGAAGCGCTATTTATATTCCAGACAGCCCAGCTGGCCATAATGTCCTGGAAATGCCACATCCTTAGATCAGCTAACCAAGACCAAGCGAGAATAGATGCACTGGAGAAACTTGACGACAACACTGTCTTGATAATTAACGACTGGGCCAAGTTCCTGCCACAAAAATACAGAGAGTCCCAAACCGACTGGTTTGGTAAGCGAGGTATCTCCTGGCACGTTTCTGTCGTCTACCGTCGTGTGAGCGGGGTACTCCTGTGGCAGGGCTTTCTGCACATAGTCCAGTCGTGCAATCAAGGCAGTGCTGCAGTGGTTAAATCATGCAGGATGTCCTGAATACCATCAAGCTGGAACACAGTGAGATTAACAAGGCGTTCTTTCGCTAAGATAACGCAGGATGTTATCATTCGTCGTCCACCGTACTCTCATGCCCAGTGATATCCTCCTCCACCGGCATCGAAATCAAGCGCATTGACTTTTCTGGCCCACAGGGTGGAAAAGGTGCCGCAGACAGGCTCGCTGCAACCTGCGAGAATCACGTCAGGACTTTCATAAACGAAGGAAATGACGTGACCAATGCCGAACAACTGAAGAGTGCTCTTCTTTCGCATGGGGGTAGAAGGAGTTCGAGTTGCTGTCATTCAAATTGTTGAAGAGGAAGCAGTAGTAGATGACAACAGAAAGATTATTGGTATCAAAAAATTAAACAATTTCGAGTTTAACTACTTCAGAGCATGGCATTGGTTGGCTTTCATCTGAGTTTTCTTCTGGAGACTTTAAACCCCTTAGCCCAAAACCGACTCAGTCAAGGAAGAAGTAAGAGACGGAAGTGGAGCAGGATCATGATCATACTGACAATACAAATGAATTGTCATCCGTGTTTACCTGCCCTCAGGATGGGTGTGTTAAGGTCTTTCAAAGGCTGTCATCTCTCGAAAAACACCTATCTTTAGAGAAACGCACCAAGTCTCACTCGACGATATCTAAAAATGAAGAGAGTCTGTGAACAGGCTAGTTAAGTACACAAATTGTAGAGTTTTGCCTAAACGGTGTTCTCACTTCTCCTCAGAGGCTCGCTTCCAGGAGTGAATCATTCACCATTTGTTCTCGCCGGAATAACTAAGTCAAGAAAAAATCTATTTTGTTCATTGTTTTGCTTCCTTTACTTATTTTTGAAGTTTGATTATGTTTAAAAGAGCGTTCCTTTTCGGAAAGTGAGATCATTTCTTGTTTGTCAGGGTGAGTCCTTGTTACAAATCAGTCAGTTACCTTCAGCTCGTGACTATTTACACGTTATAAATGTCTCTTCTCGCTCTAACGAATCAATGACATCTTATCTTATAAATGTGAAGAGGTATTTTAGCCTGCATAACAGCCGCTTTATGAGCCAAGCGAGGTGAACGCAGCATTTTCTCGAAGCACGAAACGAGTGCGAAGCGCGAGACGAGGGATGGAGAAAAATAAAGCTTTATTTTTCTCCTCTCCTCGTCGCTTCTCGCGCTTCGCGCAAAATGCCACTTTCGCCTCGCTTGGTTCATAAAGCGCCTGTTATGCAGGCTGGAGGTATTTCTGCAAGTTCTTTGAGTTAACCAAAGATAACTTTGTTTATCTTCGCTAAACAACACTTCTAGAGGTCTCTAGAGAAAGCGTTATGCGCGAGAATGTGGAATTTTATAACACTCCACATCGCGTATTCAGCCCTGCGGAGTGGTTCTCTTTCTCGCGCTCGCGGCGTGAATTGGTCATAGTTAACTCAAAGATTATTATTAGCCTCAATAGGCTTTTCAACAATTTTGAAGAGGTCTGGAAGGCTTTAAGGATGCGATAAGCACACGCAAGTTTGAAGTTGTGTTGTGGACAAGCTCTTAATGAAACTGAGAATTTCTAGTTACCTGGCTAGGGTTTCCTGGTTTCGGAGGAAAAATCATAAAAAAAATCCAAAACAAAACTAAAGCAAGCTATAAAGTTGACTTTTATGCTTTTTTTTTTTGCTGTAGGGATTGTTGCAAGGTGGGAAATTCGGGAATAACGAACTTATTAAGGAAACATTTGTGTTTGAAATATTTTGGGAAATATTATACCACTCTGAATCAAAAACTGTGATGAATGTCTTTCACAGCCAGTCGGCATATGCATGTGTCCAGACCAATACAAATATATAAATCAAATAAAGCAAGAAGGTCTGTTCTGTGAAAAGTTTATATATTTTTTTACCAAAACAAAGGCCGAAAACAGAAG